TTTAAGAATCGCGATGTTTCGGGAGATTAAAAAAAAATATATATATATAACATGGCTTCTATCATAATTTTCAACGTGGAAAGTCGTCCTGGAATTCGTCTAATAATTCATTTCTTTGTCTTGTTGTCATCTTTGCTGCAGTACTTTTGCAGCATCAAATCTCTCGAAACTAATTTCAACTTTAACTGTTTCACAAATATAAAATTTATACGTTTTCCTGAATTAAAATTTCACAAGGAAAGTTAAAAGTTCACAAGGAATGTTACCTTTTAATATTCCTTGTTGAAGACCTAACTAACTAAATAAAAAGAAGACTCAAATTAAGCATCTAAAAAAGACAAATTCATTTTAATCAGAGCGCTCCATAATATCTATTATTAACGTATTTAATTTGACAGTCGGTTCATAAAAAACGTTTCTCATTTCCCATATCTCGGAAACTCGCCTTCGTTCTCGGGAACTGCAATAATCGTATACCCCAGCCGCAGAAAAGTAAAAATCGTTGAAAGAATCGAGCATGAAAATTACCCGCCGGTTGGCGGTTCTATGTAGGACGTGAACGTCGCGCCCGTGTTCGAAATGACAAACGGTGCTGTCAATTTCGGCCGGGTACCCTTTGAACCGGGGAGGAATCCCTCTCGGGAGACAGCGGGATCCTTCCAGATCGATAGACGTTTCGCGAATGTCTAACGGATGACAGGACGGTTGTGTACGTACTACAGCCGTGTGTACATCATCACGCGATGTACATCGTTCATACGCGGCGCGACAAGGGAAAGCACGCACCACACGCATACCACATTACACACTCACACACGTACCATACATACACGGACAATCATCACACGTCTATACGCGCGCAGGCGCGCGTGCATAGACGCGAGACACGATCAGATGATTGAACACGCATGTAATAGAGCCGTGTGGTTCGTTCGATCGATGAGCCGAGCCCGAACCTACGGACGATTATATTGAATCAGACTGTTATATGCGAGTTTACGGGAATTAATTAGGAGAGAGAGAGAAAGAGAGAGAGAGAGAGAGAGAGAGAGAGAGAGAGGAACCTTCGGGGAACTACGGATCCTCTGTAAAAAGTAGCTTAATTAAAACGAACTGAAAGGAATTGGAGCCGCTACAAATTTCATCATCTGCACGACGCTGTGGATTAATTCAGAAATTCTTTCCGCACGCTGGTTTCTCAATATTTACAAGATATGATGGCAGGATTAAGGAAAAAACCGTGCTGTACCTCGAATATCCGGTCGGTGATGCGCGCGCGAAGAAATATCCTCGAAAAATGTATTCCGGAGAAAATTAAAAATTAATCCCAAAAAGAACAGCGCTGGATTACTTATCGATTTAGTTGGTAAACAAAGTGAAAACGTATCTCAGTTGCTTGAGAAGCTGAAAATATTTAAAGATACTTCTAATATTCCGAAGATTAGAGATTCGTAATTGAATCCGAATTGAATCGGATATGAATTCCAATCAATTTTACTTAAACCGACTACTCGTATTTTTGCAACGAATTTATGCATCTCGATGAGATAATCGCTGAAATTATTACCTGCAAATTTATTTAAATCGAATTAGAGTCCAAGCGATAATGCGCTGCTGAAATAATTAATTTCGAAGACACTCCGCGGAATCGCAAATTAGTAAATGAAGGCTAATTGTCGTTAATGAATTCCGCGTAACTTTTGCGCTACACCGAAGAGCGCGATAATCGCTCCAGCGAGACTTTGAAGGCAAAAGTTTACCTTGCATCTTTAGCCGGTTATTTAATTATGAGGCCCGATATTTGGTACCGATGGACCGATGGAAAGACTAATTTCGATAACTCATCCAATTTTGGAGCATATACGCGCGATTGCTAAAACATTCACACTTTGTTGTTTGTAGGCGGGATTTGTTAATTAACAGTTCGTTTTCTGTAACGTAATCCGTCAGAAGAGTTTAACAAACTGTTTGAAAAAGCTGCATCGGACGGCGCATATCGAAAGATGTAATAACGCTTGCCTCTGACGGAGAATTGCAAAAAATTTATTTTGCTTCGCGCACCTTTCGATAATTATACGCATATGCGCTGTCTGATCTCCTTTTAATTAAAATTCACCGTTCGCGCAGTACCGCGGGCATGTACGTCAATTTTAATAGAATTTCGTTATAATTGACGTAACCTTCCAACTTTATTCCATGACGCTGGCATTTGCAAACGTGCAAGTTTTATATATCGCGTTCAACATGTTTTTCAGCTACTACGAAACAATTATGACGTGTTGCAGAGCACGTAACGATATATCTCGACGCATCTCGAATAATATCGCTAAACTCTCTCTTTCCATCGGATAATTCCTCCGCGGAGACTTCTTGTCCATTCTTTTTCCCGACGTGCTGATACAGGTTTTAGTATTTCAAACTAACTGGCACGCGCGCGCGCGCGCGGTGAACTTGCCGCGGCATTTAAATCGCCAAGAACTTTACAGGAATTTTACGAGTGAACTAACTACATTACCGATTTTAATCTCTTCACCGACAGCCCGTTTCCCCCACGGTGTTAGCAATGTAATGTGAGTGTCCTATGCGTTACAGCGGTGTAACGTTCCGCGATAGCTGCACTAAAATGTTAATCTTATCGGGCATATAACTTTAACTTGCAAATCAGCCATCTACTTGAACTTTCAACAATTTAATATACTTGCACGCTTCTCGCAAGCTAAAACAACGATTAATACGCGTGAGGCGAGAGAGGATAGAACGGGAAGAATCGCGCGCTTCGGCGGTACACCCGCTCCTCATTTCGCGCACGGCGCTAATAAACTCCGGGTGGGTCATGTTAATTGCCGCTTCAAGCGTTTCGCATTCGCCGCCTGTGTTCTCGCGTTCATTATTTCGTTCATATATCGTTGTTTATGGCTATCGAGCTATATCAATCCGCTCCCTTCAGCTCCCGGGTTCGATAAAATTTCTAATGTTCGTTAGCGAGCTCACAATACACCGGCGAATAACAGTCTGATCGACTAATCATTCATTCGCGAGCTCGACTCCGCGCTCGGACAAAGCCCGCGCGCGCCTAACACACACAGCACATACACACAGCCAAGGCGTAACACTTCTGCAGCCGAATTAACACAGCGATAACAGCCGGGGATGGTAATTGGCCCGCGCGAAAGCGAGGGGAAATGGTAGCTAGAGCAGCAAATATGTGCCTTTTGACTGCGTGAACTTTGCCTAGGGTTGTGGTCGTCCTTCGAAAAGAGCTCGCTCTCTGTTAACGCGTGCGGATATGTACGAATGTACACGCGCAGATATATGTGTATACGTGTATGGGTGTGTATGTATGTGTGCGCGTGTATGCGCGTGCGTGCGTGCGTGCGTGCGTGCGTGCGTGCGTGCGTGCGTGCGTGCGTGTATGTATGTATGTGTGTATGTTAAGCGCATCGAATAAAGAAACGGAAGGGGAAAATAAAGGAACGAGCGACGACGGGAAGCAAAGACGTGCGGCGCGTTAGGTAAAAGCATCATCATCACCACCACCACCACTGATCGCTATACGCATAATCAGCATAATTTCGGCAGGTTGCGATCTCCGACTTGCGTGCTCTCGCACTAATCCGACGTGTTTCTAGTAGACAGAGACTCGTACGTCGTGCAGTCGGTGTATGTGTGTGTGTGTGTGTGTGTGTGTGTTGTGTGACGAAGAAGGGAGTTGTCTCAGATAGTTATGAGCGAGCAAAGTTTGACATGTGGACTTTTATATCGCCTACCCAGCTGTGTGTGTCGTTTAGTTTGACGGGTTGGCTCGCTTTTGCGGAACAAAACATCACCTGGAGATTCGCGATCCCCGAGATTATGCCGGTTTCAATACCTGCATCGATCGTGCAGCCGGGGATGGCGGCGTCGAAAAGATGCACTCGACGACGCGACTAGCGCTCTATGCGTATAGAGATCAGTGAGATTGTGTTGCTGAAATATTTATTACCTCCTCGTTTTATACCTTAGATACGTTAACAGGCCCCAGCGAAGGAGTCTCTCTTTTTTCCGTGACGACGATCGGAACCGTTTCAATCGTTTACTCGTCCATCACTTCTCTGATCGCGCAAGCATACGCTCGTGCGTATGTCTGAACGCGTACGCGGCGCATCGCATGACGATCTTTTATTTCAAGACATTTTTCCTCTCGTTATATTGACAGTAACGATAGTCCGTTTTCGGTATACATATGTACGGGATGCCTCAGAACAGTCGCTATTCCTGTCTTGTCTATGGATTTTTAAATGGAGCGAATATCCGGTTCTTACGACTTTCCCCACATCCTCGAGGTCAAATCTCGCGACAATTGAATAGTCGATGTTAATTCAGAATTTAAAGTTTAAGGGTTGGACAAACGACGTGATATATGCGGTGCATATGTATTCCGCTTAGAATATAATTTACTTTTTCTTTTTTCTAAATGCAACGATTTCTCTATCGACTCGTAACTGCGGTTTTCGCAGTTTCTACGCAATTGGATTAAATTCTGTAAGAAAGTGCAGAGCGCACTTTCTCTCGATAGAACGCTAAATATGTTCACGTATGCGAATCATCATATCTATCGACAGAAGGAAGCGCGTCTAGTCGCGGGTATCCTGTATATCCGTGTCTTGGGGCTGGAACAATATCGTTTTGTGACTCGAGAAGAGCAGGTCGAGCCGTTACATAGCCGAGTATGTAACAACTGTCCTTCTATTCTATAGCCGCGTAAGAATATCGGTTGTTCCATCTTCAAAGTATCGAATATGTATACAAGTCTCTCTTTCTCTTTCTCTCTCTTTCACTCTCTCTCTCTCTCTCTCTCTCTCTCTCTCTTTCTCTCTCTCTCCTTTTCTCTTCCACCTTAGGAGATTTCCGTTCTCGTTTCTGTTTTTCCGTTTTCCGTTTCCGTTTCGTTAAGTCGTTCTTGGCGCTCCGGGGCAGCCGGTACGCGCCTTTGTAATACGTGTTTTTGTGTGTGTCGACAGCTCTGGAATCGACAATAATCCGACGGTCTTTTACCACTTAATGCCCGGTTCCACGGCGCAGACCAACAAGTTTCATACGTTTTACCTTCAGCAACGCGCCGAGCAATCCGTGACTTGGGCTGACATTAAGGTTAACCACCCGTTGGACTACGAGAGCATAAAGGAGTATAATCTCACCATACGAGTGGAGGTACGACTCGTCTTCCGCGGATGAAAAAATGTTGGCGCAATTGAATTGAATCTTTTATAGGAGAAAACGCTGATGCGTTTCGTTTTAGCGTCGCCAAATAATTTTTGCTCTTCAACCATGAAATGTTTCCATTTATAATATTTTGTAACATTTCGTATTATATCGTATTTATCGTTAAATATAAATTCAACATGTGACACTTGAAAAGTACGATGTCGCGTAACGTTAAATAAAATATCGCGTATAAATATTATGTGTCACGAAAACGAAAACACAGAAAAGCGGCACAGAAAAATTAACATCATACGATGTTCCGCTCTCGTAACCGCGTGGTCAAATTTGTTTCTTTAGAATAATGGAGCTCAACAGCTGGCCTCTGAAGCGACCGTGTATATTATGCTGGAGGATGTTAACGACGAGATACCACTGTTCACTGAACGAGAACAGGAGACCGTACTCGAGGGTGAACCAGTTGGTAGCAAAGTCACCCAGGTGAACGCCATCGACAAGGATGGGACATTCCCTAATAATCAGGTAAATCGATGTCGCACGTTATTGTAATAAAACGAATTTACGTCTCCCGAGGGACGCATGGCGATAGCAGTAAAATAATTGCCCATATCGACCGGTTAATTGTGGAGCAATGTGAAGGTATGCTCTAGAAGGAGTGCTCCCCAGACATTACATTTCATATTTCATTTCTTACTTGGAATCTAGAGGGACAATTCTCTAACACGGCTCGATTTTGACTTGTATGCTCAAAGTGGGTTGTGTGCTTTTGTCGCTACGATGCTACGTATAAAAACCAATTATGTGATTATGATCTCTCCTTTATCTTTAATCTCAAATGATAAAATTAGATGTTCCACCTCTCCATACATCTCTCAGACGGGGTGTTTTCTCTTGCATATTGCTTATTATAAAACATTATACAGTTATAACTTTTATATGAATTGTTTATGCACATTGGCAAATTTACATTTCAATTTGGAATTTTCTCATAACATCATCTTAATATATAAAAGATCAATACTGAATATGATTAAATATCTTATAATATAAAATTACTTGTTTCTTTCTGATTTTTAATTATTATTATTATTACCATTATAACAATATAATATAATATTATAAAAATAATCCATATACAAACAGACTTGATTACTCAAACAAATATATCATTTTTTTCTGTGTAATTAAGATATTTTTTCTTTCTCATATTTAAATTCTGTATTGTAACATGCTTATATATTTGTCTCTGTAACTATTCTAAAATTTCATTATATCAATGGGGAATATTCTCGCAGACTCTAATAACAATAATAATAATAATTAAATCAGAGTGTTTAGCTCTTCTTGCTATTATCGTTCAGTGCGATTTAAAGCTACGTAATAACTATTACTACTAATAACTTAATGATACACTCTGCGAATGTTGAAATTGTACACTCACCATTTTGCGTTGAAAGCCCTTTCTAACGTCCGACCAAATCCGCCGACGAAACTCTCCTGCTACATCCCTCTGCGTCCCTCTGCATCCGTTTGCGTCCTTCTGCATCTGAAACTTCATATAGCTTCAGCATCGTCCTATGTCGATTGCACTTCACTTTAGTCGCTTGCGATTAATATTCACATTCTAATGATATTTTACGGATATCTTGATAGTAATGCGACGCAAAATAATTTCAATAACATATTCACGACTCACGAATAATGTGTGACCGCATTAAAGACCGCGGCTTTTCTCACGAAGATCGAAAACGGCGAAAAAAATATTTCGTTTCACCGACAATTTTAATTTCTGAGAAACGAGACTCTATATATTCGCGCGAATACTAATTTTTAAAGCACGAAATTGCTTCAATAAATTTAATGATGAACTTTGTTGGATTTACTCGGAACGTGTTATATTATCATTTTAATACACTCGCGATGCGAGGAAAAATCACGTGTAAAAACATAAAATATGAATACAAAGTATTAAGCGAGATAACAAGCGGCAGCGTGCTACGTAATCTCGCGCACATTCTATTTTTCTTTTTTGTAGCAAAGATATCGCAAATTTTTCATAGAATTTGTCGGTGAGAAATATTCCTGCGTGTTTCTCTAAAGAACACAATTATGCGACGCGTGTATAAATATGAAAAATCGAAAAGATGAAAGTCTCTGCGATCTGTCACACGAAACGCGCGATAATAAAATATAATCGACTATCGCGTATACCGTGTATATGTAATCGACTGCCGTGGATATCGTGAATATTTATATATCACTTTGGCGAACGTATCGGCGATACGAATATTTGTTCAAAAACCGAAAATAAAAAATTGCGGCGATCGCAAAATGTATTAACCCGTAAGCGGGCGAAATAATCGCAAATACTGCGAAATTTCTATCTTTGACAAACGCAAATACGGTTTATTTTCCGATTTATTTTTTTACAAAGAATTATTACCTATCTCTGCTAGCACACTATATTGCGCGTGATGCTCTGTGTAAAATTGAAAAGTAAAAATCGTGGCAATTGGGAGGTAAATAAGTCTATGAGGAAAAGAATAAATTGTTACATGCGCGAAATTGTCACACTGAACTTAACGAAATTCGTATCCTTCGTTTGCAAAATGTAGTCGCAACATGAATATGCATACAAAAATCTAGAAAAATGAAAACCACGGCGGTCGAAAAATATACCAGCGTGAGTTTCGTGAACGGTGACGCCGAACTTGATATCAGATCGCTTTGTGATATGTTTCGCGAAGTTGTAGTATCGAATTTTTTCCAATGGCATTTCAAATTTTGTATCACCATTGCGCGAGAAAGAACGTCGTAGCATTATTGAAATAGTAATTATCGCACAGCTTTTCCTACATCGCACAGCTGCTGTCGAATAAATGAGAAAGACATTTTACAATTGCTTCGCACACAGCTGCTTATTGAACAAAACAACAATTGATAAGAAAATTAGCTCGCGCTTATAATGAAAGATCAACGGAAACGTGCGTCGCATTAGCGGTATATAGCAGCGGTCTTCCCAATCCCTTACCGCAGAGATCCGATTTCGAGTGGATCAATTGCAGGAGAATTGCATTGGAACCGCACAAAAGAACCAAAGAACACACTCGTATTGCGCTATAGCGGAACACTTGAGCGGGACTTAAGGGAGCTCAGTCGTCGAAGTCCTGATTGAGGTTGGAGCAGGGGGCAGTCGGGAATTGGGGAATAAGGGCGAGATATAGGGCGCTTCGGGTGCACACACTGTGCAGCTATAAGTTAGACTGTCGCGCGCGTCGAAACTTTAATGATTTCACGTAGCAGGCGGAACTGTATTCCGTCCGTTGGGAACGCGCTGTAAACTCCGTAACGGTGTAACGCAATTCCGATGATCGCGTTTGAGTGGCGTTGAATTTATCACGTATGATCGCATTAACGGATACGCGCCAGCTCGCGTGGATGTGTACCCGCGTCGGGTGTTTAATCGCGTGATTATCATTCGTTTCGCGCTGAAACCGGGTTGCTACGCTACGGTACGCGTTTTGTAATGCCGATGCGACTGCGACTATAGCGAGCACGAACACGCTGAATATTAAGATATTAGCTCGTCGCTTCCGAGGGAAATGAACGAGGGATACCGTGGATGGTGATTCAAGCTTGAGCTGAAATTAGATCAATTTGTTCTCTTGATTTGAAAGTGTAATGTGGCCAATGCGGCTTACTTCGCAATTTCCAAGTTTTGATGAAATGGTCGACTTTTCGATTTTCTTTTATTTTTTTCTTTTTTTTTTTGAATGAACGGACGCCGCACTTTCGCCAGCACTTTGCGTTTCGCTCCCTTGCACTTGTGCGTATATTGCCGCTTCTCCATCCATAAATTATTGATTCTATCAATCATCCTTACTAATCAGCTAATTTTCTTCTTAAATTTGTAAGGTTCCACCAGGAATCATTAAATGCTTTTCATATAAAGTCACAGATTAATAGTCGATTAATTATACAAAGCTTTGAAGAATTATACATATTTCAAAGATAATATTCTTGGAATAATTTTACAGACAAGTATAATCTTATAGATCTTTCTTTCAATTGATTATCAATTATCTAATTTATTAAATAATATTCTCTAGAAACTAATATTAAAACATAAAAGGAATTTTGGACTTTCATGTCATATTTATGATATATATATATTCCGCCTCGTATTTCGTTTTCCATTCTCGTATTTTCTCGTACTTAAATTATACGTATAAGATTATTTAAAAAGAAAAGAAACATACTTTTCATCCATTTTATGAAACAATTAAATGTAAGAGTCTCGCTTTATTCTGAGAGAAGCAAAAAGAAAGAAAGCTGTCGAGTAGAGAAAGTCAGCGTGCACTTTGCTGCTACAAGGTAAATTCATCTCCTCTTCGTTAAACAAAAATGAGACAGTTCTTAAGCGAGCAGCTTCGCAAAAATGGCGTAGCTACTCGAAAAAAAAAGGAACTTGACTCGGCACGGTAAACACGGAAGCAAAACGGCCGTGAAATATCGCGAAATTTCCGCTGAAAATTTGCCGATTAGGTAACGCGAAATGTACGTGCGACTGTAAATCTCGCCGTAAATTACAGAGGCAGACCTTACACGCGGAGTCCTTCGCGTATGCGAAAGATTTGTCAAATATGCACATCCCATTTGCAAGTGCAAGTGCAAGTGCGAGCGCGATGCGCGATGCGCGACCGTAGAATGCGTTACGGAACGGAAATGCGCGCAACGTCGGGACACAAAAGGGACACGAGAGAAGTGGACGACCGATCCGACATGTAGTCGAACGTTCGCGTTGTAATCGGGTTGCTGCAAACTCGATATTGTCTTCTTTTTAGCCCTGGCTGTACGTGCTCGCCGTATTGGCGATCGTGCAGTAAATTGGCCCGAAAAAGGAGACTTTTGCATGAACGAAAAGATAAAAGTTGTAAAAAAAATATCAATTAATGATACAACAGACAGCAAAACGCAATTGTAAATTGAAACAATGTCGCGTAACGCGATTATCTCGACGAATATTTCACACATAACCTCATTTCTCGCTCTGAATAAAATTGCGTAATTGAAGACTTATCATATCATAATTTGGCATTAATCACGAAGCCAAACATTAGCCCAATAAACATATATGCATTATTTACAAAAATATTTATGGAACAACGTTGAATGTATATATATACATGGAAAATATATTCGACAGGGTATATACATATACACACACACGCATACATTTACATTCACTCCCTCTCATTCGCGCACATACATACACACACACACACATATATATATATATATATATTATATATATGAGAGAATTCTGCACGACGTACTTTGATTATTGCTGCATAAATAACGTAACAAAAGTATGTGCTGTTCCGACTTAATTGAGTTTTGTCGTTACACATTTTACGTACCTCAATTAAAAGGTTAGAAAGCCATGTAGAACAGCTCGACAGAAAAAGAGAGCGAGAGAAAGCGCTTATATCGCGCTGTCTTTGTCGCACGGGCCTACAATAACATTATCGTATCATTATATGCCGTCTCATTATGATAAAACTGGAAAGAATACCTAAAATGAAGTCGCAGTTAGTCGCCTCGTAACGTCTTTCACTTCCAGTGCAGCGTCGTTTAAAATGATTGAGTTACGGTAATTCTCTAAAGCGCCGTATGTCGGCGCCACCGTCACGATGTCGCGTCGTTACGCGCCGCGGGCGACTTTCACGAATTTGGCGTCCTTTTACGCACAGGCGGCTCAACGTAATGACGCGCGGAATATTCGCGAAGCAAAGTGAGTTCGATTTTAGAGGTCATATGATCGAGGTTCATTGCTCATTCCCGGTAAATCTAAAGACATACATGGAGATATTTTAAAGAACTTGGAATATTTACCGTTTACGCTAAATTACAATCGAAAAAATGTCGATAGGTATCATAACCATGAAAAGTCGTCGAGTCGTAGCGTTAACGCCGCGGGCGGATAATTTGGCGCTCTTTTACGCGGTTCAATATGACGCATGGAATATTCGCGAAGCAAAGTAAATTAGATTTTAGAAGCCATACAATCGTGAGATACACTGCTCATTCCCGGTAAATCTAAAGACATACATAGATATGTTTAAAAAAATGTTGAGATATTCACCATTACGATAATAAATAGTAGATAGATACAATCGAAAAACTGGCCGATAGGTAACATAACCTAATGAAAGGTCGAGGCACTCTCAGTGTTAATAATAACACATTAATATAGAAGAAAATTAATACAAATGTATTGTTGTCGTAGTAGATTAATACATTTTCGTGAAAATATTCAACACTTCGTACACAACCGCAGATTAAAGCAACTTTTAAGTAGGTTAAAAAGTCGAGCCGACAACTTTGGCGTTGCAATGTAGAAATTGTTTTACAAACATGTTTTTAAAATTAGCAGTGGTAGAAAATAGAAACGTAGTAATTATTCAATAATTCACTAGCTGCTGGTGAAAATGAAGAAAGTCAATAACAAATATTAACGTTCATTGTAATACTTTAATGCTATTGATTTAATATTATTATTAATACGATACTCTAGCGTATATACTACTATTAAAATTTCATAATAATCCGACATATTAAATAGCGGTAAAGTAAATGTTTGCAGGTTAAGTTGCCTATTTATTGAAAGTGTAAAATGTTATTTGTATCCGTTTTTATTTTAGAGAAGAAATAATTGTAAATAATCAGCAGCGCATTGCGAGCGCCAAAATCGTCGGATCATGAAATTTTTTTAATGGCGATCGCGCTGTGTTCGAATTACTTCGAGCAACTAACTAAACAAGTATTCCGTATTTCTGTGCAAATAGCGATGTCCAGCGAGATTACGATACTTTTCGCTATTTGCTACTCATGGATGCGAGACACAGACGGTTGGAGTCAATAAACCTCGTCTTGTTTATCTAGGTCACGTATTACGTGGTAGACAGCGACAGGAACGAGGGCAAGGATTACTTCGAGATCAACAGGGAGACCGGCGAGATCTTCACAAAAGTAATGTTCGATCGCGAGAAGCAAGGAGCTTACGCCCTGGAGGTAGAAGCCAGAGACGGAGCACCTTCCGCGCGACCTAACAGCAACGGCCAACCTAACTCAGGTAGGTGGTATGGAAAATTTTATTTAAAAGCTGCCCGCACATACAGCATATACAGCATATTGCTATGATGCACGCGTCCTGTAAATTCGGGTAAATAATAAATCATAACAGCTTAAATATTTATATCGAGATTATATAGACAGCCGAAAGCACGCCAATTATACGAGCTTGCTACGATACGCGGAGCGATTAGGGAGATTACGTTCTAATAAATAATTCTGTTGAATACTTGTATCGACATGAAACAAACATATAAACGTACATGGTTAAAATATAAATATGCTCATTGAAGATTCAGGCAGCATTTGTCACATCAGTAGTATTTATTAAACTGTGTTTCGGTTCTACATTAATCCTGCGAGTCGAACTTGAAGTATCCAATGGAGAAACTCGAGATATAATGCTGTGTATATTATTGTCCTATTTTGATGTTACAAGTTATTACTGTCATTTTCTCAATGCTGAGCCTTAATGAAAGGGATGAAGAGCAAAGAGAGACAAAGATAACAATTATATGTTCAACACAATACTGCATATTAATACAGGAAATAAATTTGAATCCGACGCAATAACAGAAATATTATGTGTAAATATAAGAGAAATAAGACGTTAGATTCAAAATAGGATGCTTTGCAGCAGTCAAAAGAATATATTATTGAGCACACAAGTCACAACTTATAAAATTTATATTAGATTCTAAGGTCACTATTTATAGCCGTGAATCATTTAAGATTTTCTAGTGAAAACATAATTAATGATAAATTTATATTATATGGTAAATTTATAAGATTTATAAACCATTATTAGCTGATTGGATCAATATTGCTGTATTGTTGGAATACAGGTACAGATTGGCAAGCAAGAAGAGATTTATGAAGCAGTAATAATTTGTTCACATAATGAGAAACTTAATGAATGTAGAATACCGATTTAAATTTCGACTTTAGGTATTTTGTTGCTCGCGTTTAAAAGGTGAGTTAGAAACAATTAATTATCAAAGGAGGCTTTTTAAAGTAATGTTGCTATTTCTATCAAACTCGCGCATTTATGTGTAAAACATGACATGTATGACTTGAGTCGAAACCGTTCGATCTGAAAGGTGTACAACAAGGGTACATATTGATCTGCGTTTTATAAATTCGTGTATAAATAATGGGTTGTAAAGGCAATATTTATATTCACGTATGAGCCACGGAGAACGTGCAGATCATATAAAATCACGGTTTAAAATTCGGATGGAACGTACGATTATTGTACCGTCACAGGGCTAACAACGGAAAAAAACCCGTGCTTGAAGTTTTACAAATTGGTGAATTCATTTGAAAAAAGGCTCTCGAATATTTCATATATACGACAATTGCATTTATATTCTATATTTTCCCATACATTTATATTTTTTCAATTTCTTCGAAGTAAAATTTTTCAGATTATATTTTGCGCATAACGCCTTTTACGTTTTCAGCAAATATAAGATCGTAAACTTTCAAATCTGCTTTACTACTCACCATTAAAACTTTATCGTGTGTCTTCGCCCAAGCGAAAATCGCAATGCTTTCGCTTATATCACTACAAAAACGAACGATATGAATATAAGCGAGTTACCGCACTTTGCGAAAGGATTATCGATTCGCACAGTATGACAAGTGAATTATCGGAGAACTTAATATTACGTCGAGAATGCGAGTGTTGCCGCGGCGTGGAATTTTTGCGAAAGCGTCTTCGGCCTTCTCGGCGCGGATCTCTTTAGAATTTTTTTCACACGACATACGATTTGCATTACCGAAGCTTTATGGTGTGAACTTTTGCGCATTAACGCGATTACGCTGTCGCCCCTCATCTCTCTCCCGGAGAGATTGCATTAGTTGATTGCGTGCCGCTATACGATCTCGCACAACTTTAAAAGATAGAAATCGATTGGAAGATTCTCCGTTAAATCAATCAATTTCGGGCGTTCCCGTGTAATCCCGGGTAAATGCTGAGGACAATAACCGTCTCTATTTCGCAGATGAATTTCGCACGAGAGTGACGCGAGAGTTGCATTTGCCCCAAGTTTTATAAATCTTCTCTGGGTTTATCGGTCTCACCATTAGCGCGTCCGCGTATATTCACGTACTCGGCTTCTGCCCACGACATCGAATTAAATACGCATACACACACGTGACTAATTAACGTGGCTGCCGACCGAGTACTCTCCGACTCAATACGCACATTCGCTAATTAAAAGTTAAATCCAAGAACGCCGTGCTGGTAATTAGTCCTTAACGTCGTTACGTACGTTCAACGTCGCGCGCCACGCTGTATCGCATTAATGTTGCATTATAATGCGCGCGCCACGTAATGCGCTCGCGCTATCGTTAAGGGAAATTGGTTTGCGTTTAATGTGTATATCCTTCCTCTCCTATTAGTCATCGGGAAAATTATGAATGATGAAGAAGATACGCACAAACGACGCTGTGAGAAAAATACGCAAGTTTCAGGATGTTACTTGGTTTTATTTTACGGCCACGATGTGACGCGATTCCTCGTTTTACGAACCCTCCGCGACTCATGTTCCCGAATTATCGAAAGACGAGCCGACGTGGCCTCATCTTCTTCGGCTTCTGCCGAGCTTAGCTTATCAGAGACTGGCTTTACAATATCCGCCATGTCAAGAATATCGCTCCCCTTCATGCTTGGGGCTACATTTTTAGCCGTCTATCCAGGAAAGCCGTGTATATAAATTGTATCAATATGTAATTTCAAACACGAAAGTGATACACGACGTAAATATACTGACATCCGAGTAACTTATAGGAACAAAGCGCGTACGCTCGTACGCGAATTGATGAACGCATCCAATTGTACGATTGTGCGATTTTAATTTCTACTTGCAATGTAATTTTATATCTAAATGACAATTAAATCACAACGAGACACATTCGAACGATTATACGCGGTTTATAGGAGAGCATACATGTAAATATTTGCTTATCGCAAATATGCGTATGAGCATTTTTGAAGCGTATGAATTTGAATATTACTCCCGTATTCAGAACAAATTATTTGCCACCGGTGCAAAAATTTGAAAATGACGTATGTTATATAAACCGGTTATTTGGAATGCAATATAAATGCATCTTTGAAATATTACCAATTCCAACGGAAATTTGAGTGGTTTTCATCAAATTGCAAACTGCCAATTTTCACTCTATCCTTTAAATTTAATACGCGTCGCTTCTCTAGAAATAAATAATTTGCTGCGTGGTACTCTTAAAAATATACTTAAAAACAATTTTCACAAAGTGCTTCTGTTGCACTCGTACGAATAAAATGAACGCGGAAAATCGTCAATTTTGAAATTACAGTCGCCATTTATTACGAATCGATAATACGCGTTGGCATCGTGAAGATGCGTTAAAAATCGGTTCAAGGTTCGGGTTAGTTCTTGTTGAAAGCGAAGTTCAATTTACTTCGTGTCTCCTCTTAAGATTTTTACGAGTATCCGTCAAGAAAGTTGGCAAGTTTATTGGCTTTTCCTACAGGAAGTCGTACACGTAAGTTGAGATCTCCGTTCCGCAACGCAATTCCGTTTCTAATAAATTCATGATTGATTCGACTGCGGTGCGCCATCTCGGCCGCAACATCGATTTTTCTTACAAGTCATACGACCGTAGTGGACGACTTCATGGAATCGCTTGAGACAAATTTTTGTTCGATCTCCTCTGTATTTCTTCATTTTACTACATGCTACTAAAATCTGATCCAAGAGTTCATTGACAGATTGTTAAAAATTATTGAGAGGTAAATTGAAAAGTAACATGATGTACATGTTGATGTACAATTTATTAGATCTTTTCAAACATTCGAGACACAAAAACTTTCGGTATAAATGAGAAAACTCAAAGATAAAAAGTCTTATTTCTTACACAACATTCAAGCAACGGTTAAGCGTGTTGCGGAGAAAATATCAAGAGAGAACAATTTCGCGCATCGTAGTATTATCCTTTTTCTCTATTATTTCCACTTAACTACTTAAAATCGCCTACGGTGAAGGATGTCAGAGAGAAAAATATCTCTGCAACTCCGCAGAAAATCCAGCAACATCGTGTCGACGTGCTATCCTTTCGGCTCCATCTCCATTTCGACTGACCATTTCGAGAGAAAAGCGTTGACAACTCTCGCGGTTGTCGCTTAGATACGTCGGAGACATCGTAAACATTGTATGTAAGCCTTTCCTTCGCAACGGTATTATATGCTGCGCGCGATGCACTTTCCACAGTACAAAATATGAAGAGCGATCCGCGTAGCGCAGAAACTCGAAAGTAGCCGAGTAATGTTTTTACAAGCGACGTAATAGAAACGTCATATTTTATGGCGGAGAAGCTCCTGTATTTTTCAGCACTTTCTACCGACGGCTCTCGTCGCGCAGACGGAGAGCTACGGAGTCATGAAATTCGCGATAAAAAAAAAGTAAAATTTAATGCGAAGAGAATCGTCGAGTTAACACGACGAGCTCGCCGTCTTACTTTCGTGCTACCGTGTGGAAATCAGGGATCGTTCATCATGACATCGCGGAAATTCGCAAATCGCAGTTGGTGATTAACGGGGCTAGGAATGCGAGAGTCGCATTAGAGCGTTGATTTAAGTATGGCGGAGTGCACTCATATTGCCGCGTAAACGAAAGAACGCAAATGGGCAACGTTAAATCGTAATTATGCAAAATTGCATTACGTCGTCGGACGTTAAAGGGAAAACGGAATGGACAACCGTAATCTCCTCGCGTGACTTCTCGCGCGAAAGTGGTTCGACTTTAAGCTAACAGATTACATTAATTTAACCTCACCGCGCGCGAGAAGCTGCGCGAGGAACTTTAATAGCAAAAAAAGTGAAGGAAACGAAAAATATGATACCATAAAACCTACACGCAGCAACGCATTTTGCACACGCGTATAGGAATGCGTAATTTTCGCACTTAACGTTCAAATATTTGAGGATTAACTCTCAGTGTGGTTCCTTCGGGC